TCGAACATAAGGTCCTCCTTCTGCATTTATTGCAATTTCCTGTTCATCATACGAGTTTGGCGAATATGTCTTCGTTCTATTCGAGAATTGACCTCTGACACATTTTGTCCCCATCGGAATCCCTTGCTTCTCTCTGAGTTATTATAGCTGTGGGGCTCCTTGCTCTGATGTTTACTTTGTTTTACTTTATCCTAATTTCATGATAATTGATGTGGTTTTCTTCCTCTTCAGTTCTTCCCTTAATTGAGTCAACTCAGTTATAGAATTCCATATTTAGTAAACTTGATTTGATATCTGCTTGTGCTGAGTAAAATTGGTGGCCGGCCCATATAGGTCGTATAATATGTATATATATACACACACACGCGCAAAAGTCTTTTGGCACGTAGCTAAATTTTTTACGTTAACAAATGATTTGCACGGTTGATTTGGTTTGCAGAGGACCCAGTAAAAAAACCTAAGAGTGTAGTTGACGTTGGGTGTGGAATAGGTGGCAGTTCTCGGTACTTGGCCAGAAAGTATGGAGCCAAATGCCAAGGCATCACTCTCAGTCCTGTGCAAGCCCAAAGAGCCAATGATCTTGCCGCTGCTAAAGGATTGGCGGACAAGGTATGTCCCAAGCTTTTTATGCTTGTCTTTTTTCAATTATTGTGTACTATAAATTTCTTTAGTATTTGCTTCTTAATAATATGTTCCAATTGTTATTATTGACAATGACTAAAGTCTTTTTGTTATTGTTGGAAACTTGGGGACTGATTGATATATGATGAATTGGAGTTTAGTTGCTAAATTTAATATTGTTGGTCATTAGAGATACTGTACCACTTTATATATATATATATATATCTAATATTTTTAAGTATAAATATGTATATATTTCGTTAATTAGTTAACACATATACACTCATTGTAACACAACCTTCTAAAGATAATGCACGATAATCCACTGCTCAACTTAAATTCACAAATTTTTTATAGTGAAAGGATTTATTGTACCACTTTATAGATGCATCTTCTCTGTATTCTATGCTGTTATCTTTAGAGGAATTTGCTGAAATGTTGGCCTCATTCTTCATGATGATTGCTTCAATTGGTTCCTCTCAAAATTGGCAGGTCTCCTTTCAAGTTGCAGATGCTCTAGAGCAACCATTTCCTGACGGACAATTTGATCTGGTCTGGTCCATGGAGAGTGGTGAACACATGCCAGACAAAACCAGGGTACCTATTTATATTTATTGGTTCAGTCTTTAGCCATTTGCTCAGCTTTAACTCTAGAGCAGGGCAGTGCTTTTCCTTTGAATTTTGTGTCATTTAAGATATTTCTGTTGTATACTATCTCAACTTCCTACTGTTGTCTCTCTATCTCTTAAAATGGCAGTTTGTTAATGAGTTGGCTCGAGTTGCTGCCCCAGGGGGAACAATAATAATAGTAACATGGTGCCACAGGGATCTTTCCCCTTCTGAAGAGTCTTTGCAGCCATGGGAACAGAAGCTCTTGAGTAAAATCTGTAATGCTTATTATCTTCCAGCATGGTGTTCTACTTCTGATTATGTGAAGTTACTCGAGTCCCTCTCCCTTCAGGTAGTACCTTCCCAGAATTTCGGTAAATTCTTCAAAACCAAATGACTTTCTTGCGTGAATTATTGCTTTAAAGTATGATATATGGGATATGGAGAAGACAACTTTTGGGCTTGCTTATTTTTCAAACTGTTCTTTTGTTTTACCTTTTCTTTTCCAGTTTTTTTTTCTTCTGATGAACCTATTAGATTGTCATCTTATGCTGTTTATTGCTCATTCTTTTAGTCTCACGTGTGGAAGCAATCTATTCTTTTGCGTATGTCTAACATATTCCCTGACTTGTATGGCAGGACATTAAGGCAGCAGACTGGTCTGAGTACGTTGCGCCATTCTGGCCAGCAGTTATTCGTTCAGCCCTAACATGGAAGGGGTTCCCATTGCTGCTGCGCAGTGGTATATTCTTTGCATTTCTTCCTAGCAATTAATATCTTTTTGTTTCATTTATTTGTTTGACCGGAAATCATCTCCTGGCAAAAGAGCTGCTAAAGAAGAAACTTTAACATGACAGTCCAATTTTGTGGAGGAAAAAATTGTCAGAAAACCATAGGCTACTGCATGTTTTTGAAGAGTAAATTGAAACATATTCAATATCTGCTTGTATGTAATCTATAGTTATTCCTGTGAACATGTCTACTATGCTAATCGCTTACCCCATTTGTTTAAATTGGTCCTGTTTTGAGTTTGTCAGGTTTTAAGACCATTAAGGGAGCATTAGCCATGCCATTGATGATTGAAGGGTACAAGAAGAATTTAATCAAGTTTGCTATTATTACATGTCGGAAACCAGAGTAGGCTCAAGAAGTTCAGCATGTGAAGTTACCGGTACTGAGCTTTTACGCATGGAACATTATTTTGGGGTTCGGAACTCGGCAGAAATCTTGAATAGCAAGCAATTCCCAGAAATCTTGAATGGCCTTTCCCAGTTCCAATGTATGATGTTATTTTCTGTTTTTGGTTTGGTTGGATGAAAATCAACATCTCATTATTATATTTATATTATGTAATTTGAGTCATCTTATCACCTCTATATATAGAAATCTTTGAACAACATTTGACAGGAAGAAATAGCAGTTGTTCTTTTTTTAAAGTATTACTTCCAAGCTTTTTGACAAATAAAAAGTTGTAAAGAAAGACAACTATGTAAGTGTTTGTTTCAACTATTCGCTTCTTACTAAATTTGATCATATTTAAGATCAAGGGAATACAATCTCAAATAAAAAATCAATCTTATTCAATATCAAATTATTTCATTTTTCGAATGAGATTATATTGAAAATATATATATATATATATTTATATTTTGTAAAAAAAAAAAAAAAAGAAGTAATTTTCATGGTGTTATTTTTATTTTTATTTTTTTTTTTATCTCTGAACCGAAACTCCATTTTTACATATATAATTAGATAATGATAGCTTTTCAGATTATAAGAGGGAATTGTATTTTTATTTTAATATTTAGTATTAACTGATTTTTTATATATTGGATTTATAATATACATAATGCATCAGTTATAATTTCTTTAAATATTAATGTTATGATTTGATTTAAAATTATGTTATTTTATTACAACTAACTAGATTTGATAATATTTGATTAGTTAAACCATTGGTTTTTTAGTTTTACTATTTGTATCTTTCTAAAAAATTATATATATATATATATTAACACTGTGTATTAATAAATACAAACTAATAATAAAACTAAATAACAATAAAAATAACTAATAATAATATTTATAAATATTTTAAATTAAATAATTAAAAATATAATCAAGTACATTACCAACACAAAATATTTGATAGCAAACGTAAAATATAAAAATATTAAAATCATATAAATTATAACCGACATGTGTTAAGCAATAAAAAAAAGTACATGTTTGTATATGCTGACTTATATTGAAATACATATATATGCATCTATATAAGCAGAAAGTCCTTTTTATTATTAATAAAAAAAAAAAAAAAGTTGTTCATACATTATAATAAATTATAATCATATAAAAACACTTACAAGTAAATATGTATATTTAAATCCTTCATTTTTTCTGAGCCGGGACAATAAATCTTTCTTAAAACAGCATATATAAAAATATATATCATGTAGTTTCCAAAGTAACCAAGTAAATAACATGATTCAACGACCAACATCCATATGACTGTGTATGTTGTGACTGTGTATGTGTATAAACATAGTAAGTACATATATATATATATAGGAAAAGGGTGTTCTTTCCCCTCAGGCTTCTTCACAAGAAATGGTATTGCACTTGGAAAAGAATACAGAGGTGGAGGGAGATAGTTTTTGACGCAGGATTTAGGTAAGTTTTGACTTCAGCGTGTAGGAGTTTTGAGCTATAAATTGAATCAATTCCATTAAATACCAAACATATCTGAACATGTCAAAGCCTACTTAGAATCTTTAGAAATGATTAAATCGATTTTGTCAATGAATAGTTTAAACATATTAAGCTAGCAGAAGCATAAACAATCAGGCCCTTTATCTAAGATTTCTGAAGCATTCCCATTCCCATTCCCATTCCTCAAATTCAAGGGTGCTTCTTCCCATGGAATACTTCAAATACAAC